CTTTCGATCTGTCATAGAAACATCTTAGTAGAAAATCGCTTCCTGTCTCGTAAATTGCGACCAAAGTCAAAAAAATTAAATTTTTGGGTGTAAATTTCCGTGGGTCCCGTTTTTATTATGGAAATTTACACCCGAAAAATTTCCTGATGTATAAAACCATCTCCCAATCCTACCAAAGGTACTGAACCTGCTAAAGACACCCAAGATGCTAAATTCACCATTTCACCAACTCCAACCGACTTCGGATCTCTTAAAAAGGAAACAGAATTAATAACTTGTGGTGATGACGATAATGTTGAAGGTGGCACAGGATTTGATACCCCTTAGTATGAAAATTAGAAATATCGTATAATTGGATTTTTTTTATCCATGTAATAGAGATATATATTTCGCAAATTTATTTTTTGTATTTGCCTTACTACGGGTAATGTTTTTTCATTTCGTAATAATAAAGCGGGTCATGACGTATGTGTAGCGGTTCATTTTATGATAAGTTGAAAACTCGAACTGGTTCTTGATAATCATTTTTACCTGTAACATCGCAATAATTAATTCACTAACACATTTATATATATGGGATAACAGCAGAACTAGGCGAAAGCCATTTCTTTGAAATAGTGTCTCTGACACATAAAACAATAAACAGTTTATTTCAGACTATGATCAATTTTCACAACATGTCTATACATAGCACATAATATATATTACAGATAAAGAAGACCTAATTAATAGATTCTACTATAATATCTACATATTTCGAGAATGATTTTCCATTAAAATAAACAAAAACTTTATCGTGTAGATTAAGATCTCTATATGTTCTGGTTTCGGGATCAAATGCACGTATATTAAAAAGAACGTTTTTGAATTCTTCAGAAAAGTGCCACTGAATTTTTGTTTTTAAATCATTGATCGATTCTTTCTCAAATATACTGAGTGAGAAGGTAATTTGATTATATGGAAACCCGCAAAATTCATTGGTAGGGATAACAAGAAATATGACACTGATAAACTCGCCCTTGTTTTTTGAATTGAAAAGGGAATCCTAAGTGGTGCAAATATAATTCATTATTACCAAAGTCACGGATATTAAATGTGTGAATAGGTTTGTAATATACCTATCATTTTTTCTTTTTCTTCTGGTATGAATAATTGTGAAGGTGGTATCTCGCTTTTTATACATCATTAATCGGGTCAGATAATTTAGAGTATCAATATGATGCAATTTATCCTTGCTTATTTTGTTCGTTATTCATAATCGCCGATGTATAGTTTTCGAATAATAAAGTGAAATTGACAGGTTGATTCACATGTTTAAGGTGACATATCCACATGTTTTCGCTGATCTGTTATACAAATATGAGTCGCCCGATTTTAGCTATATGCACTACATTCAATTTTTGTAAAAAAGATTCGATTTGTCATTACACATTGTAATGAGGCTTTGCCTCTATGTATTACGTTGCACATTCTCATTGCTCATGACGTATATTCGAGACGCACGGAGTGTGGTGTTTCCAACACTTAATGTGAGATGCTGAGTCGAAGTGTCATTTATTCTGAAATAGGTGCATACTACATCTCAATTAAGTAACAAACAAGAACTGTGTGATACATATGAGGAATTGCTGATTATCGGCGATGTATGTATACGATTTTATAGGTGAGCGATCATCCGATGCACGATAATTGATATAAATAGTACGAGACATCATATTTTGTGATCATTGGCAATTTATTACTTCAATTTAGTACGAAAAATAAAGAACCAATGCTATGGATAGCCGATGCTGGGTTTTAATGTATAAAAACATGTCAAAATTGGTGGAGTCTCGGGTAAGAAATCAAGTTGCCAAAACAATCAAATAATCAATCGCTGTCAAAACAAATATAACGTACAATAGCGGAGCTAGTGTTAAAGACATATAATAATCAATCAATCAATCAATTATTCCCAATTAAAATGTCATATAACATATCTGATATTTTTTTCATTTCGATTTTCATCATTATAATCATGATCTGCGAATTATATGCTCGGGGTATCTTAACAATGGAGATGCTTCATACAATAGCTAGAGAAAATGTAACAATGTACGCTATCCTTGCAATTTTATTATTTATAATTCGAAAAAATATGTACGCATCTCCTATCCCCCCCACCCAATACAAAACCAAATTCTTACCATGATAAATGCGGATATAAAAGACTTAAAACGGGATATATTGGCTCTAAAAAATGATATGAACAGAATGCAAAATGAAACGGAATGGAGAAGTGAAGCCCGAAGTCAAGGTTTGTGGAATGACTGTAAATTAATCATATATAACTTAGATTTTATTTAACCACGTTTCTTAGCACTAACATATTTGTTTTGTTATTTAGGGCAAGCATCCGTGCTAAGTCACAGAACTGAATATTCTAGTGAAACAGAAACTCTTTGGGTCAAATTTACAGCCATATTTAATGAGAGAAGAAAAAGAGAAAAACGTTCTCCTACGAAAATGTACAATGCCCTATCCGAAGAAATAGACCTCAGCCCATCCACACTCGCAAAATTCTATCAGCATCAAAAATCACCACAACGTACATCATTAGACAAAATCGAAGCTTGGGTCGAGAGAGAACACAAGAAAAAAGATAACTCTCTTATTATTAGCAGTAATAGCAATAGAAATGATTTTTCGAGTAGTAGCAATATACTTTTAGATGATAGTAATGATAACAATAATAGTATGGGGTAGGGAAAGGAACTCTCATTTTATGGGTTAGGGCTTGAGATGTTCCTCCCTCTTTGTTCTTACTCTATATTTCTATCCTCCGGATCAGCCTTTTGCATTTGTTATGTAGCATTAAAAAAAATATTATTATTATTATCTATCAATAAAAAAGTTATTTTATTTCGTGTTTCATAAGTGTAATAAAATTTTGCACGTGTGTGTAGCACATAATGGTTACAGTGGATACAATAGATTCCGCAGTACATTGCTTATAAATTTATAAATAGAAACCTGTTCTGATACGATAGATTCCGTAGACTTAACTTAATAAATATTTCCGCAGTACTTTGCTTATACAATAGTAGAAACCTTAGGGATGTCTTCAGAATCATCCTCACTCTCATCCTCAAGCGTATCCTCTGACGAAGAGATGGCAAATTTAGTTAAAGATTATGACACCGATGAGCTAATCGAATATTTGCAAAAAAATGATTTGAAACTTATAGAAACAGATTTTAATATATTTCGTAAAGAGAGAATAACTGGCTCCGTTTTCCTAAAAATGACTAAAGAGGATTTCCGCAGTGTTGGTTTTATGTTTGGACCTGCCATGGAATTAGAAAATTTTATCGAAAAACTCAAAAAACGTAAGTTTATAGATTCAAGGTGAATTATATAGGTCGTTACTAAGATTCTCCTCCACATAGCAAACACTCCAAAATCAAACACCGGGCTTGTATATGTTTTTATGGACAATTCCAACTTATTTATCGAAGGAAAGTTTACTGTTGGTCGTATTGAAAAAGCAGGCAACTTTGATTACCAAAGAAATTCCTACCAACTCAACCAGCTCTATGTCGATCATGGACGTCTTCTATCAACAGTACTGAAAGGACGAAGAATAGGCAGTGATCCGGTGATTGTTGGCTCTCGTCCACCTCCGAACGATTCACTATGGGGTCGAATCGAAAATCAAGGTTTTAGTGTGACCGTTTATGACCGTGTTGCAAATAAAGAAAAGAAAGTCGATATGGAACTTGGAAATTCTATAGTGGATGTCATCCATATTAAGGATCCTGGCGTAATTCTTTTAGTTGCTGGCGATGGCGATTATTATCCTTCATTAACACGAGCCGTGGATCGTAATTGGAAAATTGAAGTCTGGTTTTGGTCATCAGGTATGAAATATTGCTTTGCTTGAGTTACATATTTATCTAAGCTAATGTTTCATTTATATAGGGATATCCGGTGATCTTAAGAAAAAATCCTTTGTTTACCACCTGGATCACTTTTACCGACATTTTTCATACGCGTACGGGCAAGATCCCGCAGGAAAAAAATATATCCTTGAAATAACTGATGGAGAAACACTTATAAAATGGCAAGATGATGAAATAATGGAATGTTTTGATTCATTAGAATTATTTGGATGGTGGTTCAGGGAAGAAGGACCGACTATATACTTGTACTTCGATAACAAAACACATTTGAAAAAGGCAAAAAATTGGTTGGAATCTAAGCATCCGGATGTGAAGGTTTGGGAAATGCCAGAGAAAAGAAAAAGTTGGTCTTAATGATGATGCTTTGCGAAAGGGGGGGGAGAGCCGAAAAGGTATATAAGCTTTTTATGGGCGTTGGAGGTATCCCGGCAAGGTCTATTTTTAATCTATCTCTAGATAATATTGATCAAGTGATTGATGGGGTTTTAAATGTGTATACATATTTTTAACACCAATAAAAACGTGTTTACTGCGCCCGGACACGCGTGTCCAGTTTTTCTGAAATTAATAAAATTTGTCTGAGGTTATAGACGTTTCCATAGTATTAATAAACTAGTCTGATGTGTCTGATGTACAATTTAATAAATTCGTTACATTTATATGTAGATCAACTCGTTTATCTAATAAATTAATAAAGTTATCAAGTATCATTTATTTTTATATCGAATTTGTAATGTTATAGAGCCCAAGGGAGAAATTGCATGTGATCACGGAAAAATGTAGCAGTGTTATAAAATTGATAATCTATGCCTTCGTTGTTATCTCATCTGGAGAGAACATTTGTATAAATTGAGTATAGATTTCTTCCCATTCTTTCATCAGATCATCAAGCCATGCAGTACTTAAACCACCTTTTAGTATATCACAACGCAATAACTCTTCACCGACCAGCCTCTCCTGATCTGTTAAAAATTTATGGTATTTTCTGGTATCTTCATTCCTTTTTATCCCTCCACGATAAAGGCATATATCTCTCTCCAAGTCAGCACGGAAACATCCCATGGACCATCTTTTTTTCTCAGCCTCTGTAATGGACAAAAACTTCTTAGGCTCTACCTCTTGAATTTTGTTTGGTACACTTACTTGACTTTCCGGTAAGCTCTGTACAGCAATTATAACTTTCTTTTGATCGATACGAAATGAACAATTGAGATAATAGTGATCATCTTTACCTAGACAGCTCCAATCACCCCATATACAATATCATGTATGTACCTCTTTGCATATCGGGCATTTAGCTTCCGAATCAGTATATTTAAAAACATCTCGGTGCCATGCGTTCAAATTAGTGTAAGATAAGAAAGGAAAACATTTATGTACTGTTTCAATAATTATACCTTTCTCTTCTGGAAACTTAGAAATTTTGATAACACAATCCTGTGAAAGGTAATTATTAGTCTTTTCGATTTGTGAGGGTTTGGGAGTTTCAGACATTATCCAGGGATCGAGCCCAGTTTTATTCTTATATCTATTATAGAACCTAGAACGAGTTTTATCTGACAAAATGCTTGGTAATTCTAATTTGGCTTCCCACTCCAAATATTCGGGAGTTAATGTTTTATGACTCATAGAGTCAACCCTAAAGGGCCTGGTATTTGTTTGTGTATCCATGCTCCCATTTTATATGATTCTATTCCTTTAAATTAATAATCGACAAAAAATAATTTACATCAGAGAAACTTTAAAAACTTAAGTGAATTATATGAGTCTGAGACCTCTATGCTCTGCATATTAACATAAGATAAGGGTTATGCTGTTATTTCGATTTAATTCCACGCTGTTCACATTTAATAAAATATGATCCATTTTTATATCTGCCTTTTATACCTTTATCCTCATAATGATCTGACTTGCATAGTGGACATAAAGATTCATCTGTAATTCCATAATAATCTTTGTTTCCATCTCTACCTTCCCAATATAGGTCAGGATATTGTTCTGCCATTTTATTACGGAAATAGGCATGGTTATGTGTAGTATCTACCTTAGTTGAATCTTTTGAATTCGTTTCATCATCATCGAAGTTATCATCGTCAGAAGATTCTTTCCCATCCTCATCATCGTTATTATTGCTAATATCCTCATCAGGTATACTTACCTGTATCTTGGTTCCTGAAAATTTCAAATCTTGATTATTTTTTGGAGATGGTTCATTACTAGATAAAACAAGGGATTGAGATTCGATAGATATATTTACTTCTGTTTTATTAACTTTTTCGTTTACCTCAGTTTCCTCCAAGGTTTTCTTGGTTAGTAGAATATTTAAGTTAGAAGTCTGTTCGTTAGATGCTTTACATCTTTGCTTCCGCAAGACATAATTTATGATGTTTTGGATTTGTGTATAAGAGAAGTTAGAAAGTGAATTTGCGTTATATGAAACTTGTTTAATTTTTTCTATCCCTACTGCACTAAAAAGTGTTTTAATTTTTCTAGCTTTGAGAATTATATGTCATAAATTCACATCCGTGATATCAGGTAGAAACTGTTTAATTTCGTGATATACTAAGCTAGTTGCCTTTTTCTTATCGACCTTGTTGCTAACAGAAACTTCATCTATTCTTTTGTCATATTTTCCAGCAAAGTGATACCAATATAAAATTGTATCTTGCCCAGATCGAATTGCTTTTTGAAATATGCATACTATGGTCTGCACTGAAACTGGGGACAAATCATTGATAGAAATGTCAATATCTTGCATTGAGTCTTCGTCTAACATAGCTGAATTATTATCTCCAGTAGTCATGGCAATCTGTTGCTATAATTCTTGTTCCACAATTAGATTTGTTAGTGGTTTATCGAGGGAATCTATAAGTTTGATATTTTGTCCAGAGATTTTATCACTAGACATATCTGAAATTTCGTCAGAAGATTTTTCGTGATTTTTGGTAACGGAAATTTCTTGACATTTTTCTTGTATTAAACTTTGCTCACGCGAAATATTAGAAGTATTATCTTCAGAAGTTGAGAGTAATTCTTGATCTCGAAGTTTCTTCTCCCTAATTCTCTCCATTATCTCTTTACTAACCTGTTCCTTATACTGCAAATTCAGAAATTCATTTTCTTCCTTCTCTTCCAATGTTATGGTTTCTGCAGGAATAGGAGATCCAGAGCATCGGGTTAAAGGTATATCGGAGACTTTAGACTTCGTCTCTTCCAGACATACATCAGAATTTAAAGCATTATCAGATATATCGGATGTAGGAGTATCATTACCAAAGGCAGTCACAGAATTTGAAGTGTTATCAGATATATCAGATACTGGGGTACCATCGCATCGTGAAACTATCTGTTCAGGAGTATCGTTGGAATTTACTGAAGATTGTGGAACTTTAGTAATACTTTTATCTCCCTGTTCTAGTTTCGTGATTCTGGTCTCGTGCCCTTCTATATCTTGTCTTAATTTAGCATTCTCTTTTCTAAGTTCAGTATTCTCAGCCAAAAGCCTGGCGTTCTCTTGTTTTAAAAGATCTAATTCGGATTTGGGATTTCCCATTGTTTTATATAAGATACGAATATATTCAAATAAAAATAAACACGTGATTTGGGCGAACTTTTTTTGACGATTTGTTCGTCGAAATTTTGGCAAGAAAAAATAGCTTGACTAGTCAATATATACACACGAAAAATAACACATGATACTTTGTACGTTCCCCTAACCAAAATCTTTATTAATAAAATATATGATAAAAATATACGATAAAAAAATACAGGATATATATACAGGATAAAAATACATGATAAAAATCTATGAATAATCATCTCGTGGTGTAGTAACTGTTGTACTCCCTTCCTTTAATCTTTGAGACGATGTCACTGTACCATGATACAGCAAAGATAGGTTAGTAATTATTAAATTACGCAAAAGTAATAAAGTTTCTATAAA